GAAGAGTCTTGAAGCCAACGGGAAGAAGGAACTCTTCAATATACTATAATTATCAATATATATAATATTCCTGTAGATGAATGGACAGTTCACGAGGCGAGGTATTAATTTCCGATATCAGCCCCAAGACTCCCCTTCGACCTTCTCTGCGACTGCAGCTGTATGTAGCTGTAACATGCCTTTAGAAGCTGTGGCTGTAAGGTTCACCCCTGTACACCGCGTACTGCACTGTCGCGCGTTGCTTGTTGGCTGTACCGAAGTCGTTGCCCTGCCCAGACCGCATCGGTCTTCTGGAAGGGCGCAATGAACTTGGGGCCGCTGGCCTTGAGACCGTCAGCACCTGAGGCCCAGAGCAAGGCCGAATGTGGCCTTGCCTGGGTATGGCACCAGGCATCAGGCAGTGTGCCTTTATCCAAAGTTATCCTCTAACGAGTAGCGAAAGAATATTGGGTTTATATTTGTTTATTTTGTCGTGACCAAGCAGTTCATAGCAAGTTCCAAGTGAAACCCGAGAGGCATACAAGGGGGATTTCTCCCTCTACACAAGCCTTTAGACGAAACACTCAGCATGCAGTTTAAGGTCCCATTCTTCCATTTTCTACCCTCCACCCCTGACGAAGGTTGTGCAAAGTGGCGCTGAGTTTTCTTCCTGTTTTCAAAACTCATCAAAAGGGGCGTACATAGTGGATTCACGGTTCACGCGGTTTCTTTGTTGGACTTCTGCGGGGTCGGGGTCAGTCATGTTTTTCCCTCACCCGACGTCCTGCAATTTACATCTCGCAAGATTTGATCAGGCACAACACGCTATCTCATGTCACAATTGATCAATCATATTACCTCTGGATGAGTTCCATTCAGTGGATTGCCCCCGGTCTTTTCTAGAGCGACTCATCGTCTTGCCTCTGCACCCTTGCTCCTTTGACTACCTCAACTGAATGGCATGGCACCAAAGCGAAGACTGTTATATAGATCGCCTGAGAGTTGAGGTTGGGAGTCGCATGACTGTAGTTGGTTGGACTAGTGAAAGTAGGGGTTGGAACATGTTTGATCTTTCAAGATCTTTCACGCATGATTATAGTCGACTTGACTTGTTCATCAAGGTAAATACAGCCGTGCTTGTAGGACAGACCGATGCAAGCACAATCACAGAATTCGAGCTGGTTCAATTGACTTTGGTGACCAGGGCCTTGTTTTGTTTGATTCCTGCCGCCCCAATCAGATCAGAGCACTTATGTTCGTCTCTGTCTTAGGCTTCTCCCGATCATAGCCTTCCTGGTGGGGCGTTTCATGTCCAGAGCTTAGCCGAGAAGACGTGCATCACTCGTACGATTGGATTTCAGACGTGCAACCTTGTTACTAGTAGCTTCTTGTTTCTAGTAGCGATGGCCTCCACCTAGTAGCTTCTTGCTACGCATGCGAGTCAGTTCTGACGATTTATATAATTTCATATAGGCACAACCAAGGGCACACAGGCAATCTCTATGAAGTGAGCCGGAACGCTTGATTCAAACTCCATGCAAGCGATTTGATTTCGCACTGCTGTCTTATAATTGTATCCCGAATCTCCGTGCAGATGGGGCAAATTCATTGAGAAGCAACAGAAGGCCTTTGACAAGCAGTGGAAGGCAAAGTATTGCAAGGACTGGCTTCAAATTGATTTGTTTGATCGAAAGCATAGTTTGTCTTCGCTTGCAGGGGTGAGCTCACTCATCAACAACTTATACCCAAACTACTCGTACTGGTACTTACTTGTCAAAATACCGAACACTAAACTGCTTGATTGAAGGTGCTGTGGAACTCGACCGAAGTCTGGTGTTAAGGGACATTGTGAAATTATGGCTAATTCAGCTTTTGCTCACTTTAAATGTCAAAATCCGGAACGCGTAGAATGATGTAATGTATTTCCCTTCCAACATGGAGGTTGGGGACTATTTCACTGCCTGAATGAACCCTGCAGTTGTTTTTGGCCTTGGAGCTTGTTCCGGATCATTTCTATGCAGTTTTGTTTTCTTTTCAGGAGATCTGGGGCGACATGAGCCGCGAGAATCCTTGTGGTGGAGTTGAATACAAAAATGCTGGGGCACTCAGCGTGCCGGAGCCCGGTGGCCATTTAAGTTTCCCTAAAAATCTAGGAACCAAAAGAATACTGCGTGAGCTATCCTGCGTCCATACTAGTAGCTTAAGTAAGGTACTAGCTACCTAGCGACTACTAGCTACCTAGCTACTACCTCTTTTCGGCCTACCCCTCGGGGCTAAAAACTAAAGAATGTTAAGTTTTTTCTTAAACATTGTACACATATATATATATATTATAATGTGGGTGTTTTTTGTTTTTTAAATGTATTAGGAGAGAGGAGCGGCTTTAAAAGACTACCTGGATGCTTCTTGGACGTGGGTGCTTCCTGTTCTCGCAGTTCCAATCTCTGAGGCGTCCACCCCTTTCAAGCCAAACAAATCGTCTTGACCAAGCTTCCATTGTGACATCTGATCACTGGCTACAGCAAGGGGGCCCCTTCCCAAGAGAAGCGCTTTCATTGAGTATATAATAACACTCTATATGGATTTTGCTTAATTACATACTCGTACCATGCCTTAAAGAATCTTTGGATTACATAAGGCGGATCATTTGCAAGAATCAATCCTGCCACCCAAGCTGAGCGGCAAGCCTCGGGCAACACAGGAAAGCGTTTTACTTTACTTTTTGCATTTACCTTCTTCACCTATTCAGTTCAACGGCCTATCTCAAGGGCCTAGCACCAAAAAAAATCTGTAGGCTTTCTAGTTCAATTGTGAACCAGTGTTAGTTGCAGGTGTGCACCAGGGTCGCATAGGGTCCCATACTGTAGGGTGCCACCCATGGCCACACAGTGTTGATTTTCAATTCTACATGCCTGAAGGTTCAGGCTTTCATTCGGAGAGCGTGGATGAGACCCATCAGTAGGCTCAAAACCAAAGCCCCTCCTTTGTTTGGCTACCACATACACAAAGAGGATCTTGGACCATTCTTGGGTTCTGTTTTTTATTCTATTTTTTTTTCAAAAATCCTTTGCCACCTGCATTCCTCGCCTTCAAGTTGTTGGAAAGATTCTCAACCAACATACCAAACCACCGTATTGACCATCACCTCAACTGCCTTTGTACCAACTGTCTCCAATTCCGTGCTCAGTTGAAATTCTCAGAGCATCCGCCCAAAGCGGCGTCACTCGGCACATGGTCGGGGGAAGGATGAAGCAGAACAATGGGAGAGAAGCCTAGAGTATTCCGAACTGTTGTACTTCTTTTTGGTCGTGCATGGTGGGAACCAATGGTTGTGCTTATTCAGTTTTGTAGCCGGCAAGATGTGCCTCCCCTATTCTAGGGCAGTGACTTGCGGCATGCGCTACCTAAGAACGTTCGACCAGGGTGACTTTCGGAGATGAGCCGGTTTCAGTGACATGCTGCTTCATGCTGGTATATATATATATATGTAATTATATATATACACACATACCCACAGTCTGTATAGCCTCCACGCTGGTGAGGAATGGACGCAATCTGCATCGAATGAACACCACCATGATTGAGTCTTGATCTCGCGTGGTGGCAGTTGACAGCATCCTGATCAATCTTTTTGACATTTAGTGCTTTGTAGTGGATATGCTAATGACACCCCAGTAATACTTTCAAAAGAAGCACCCCGTTTGTTCTAGGAGTTGAGCAGTACAAAGAGATTTGTTTACCTAACACGGTATTTCCGCCTAGAAGACCCTTGTCTTCGCTTGGCGATTTTGTGGCTGTGCAGCTTTCACGTTGTGCAACGTGCTTGGCGTCGCGACTCGCTAGGATCACTCTTGTGATCATCTTTTCCTCGGGATGATTTTTGATCCGATCGTCCCCACGGAGCGACTCGCAAACTGCTCAATTGGCCGGATCTGGTCCCACTGACCTGATCCGATGGGAAGGGCCCTAGGATTGACCGTGAAGGCGACTTTTGAAACTCTCGTCGGATGTTTTTCTATTTCAGCTAGCAAGGCAGCAAGTGAGTAGGATGAGCCAAAATATCAAAAGAATGGCGATGACGACTTGTACTTATTGAATCTTATTGATACAGTGATACATGTGTTCACTTTGGTCTTTAGGGTTCAGTTAGTTTGCATTCTGTTGTGTTCCACATGGGGCTCTTGTTGGTGGTTCCAGTCCATGAAATGGCGGCCGGGGTTGACTGCCACTCGCAGAGTGGAGGCTTCAGGTACACGTGTTGTTCGTAGTGCCGTTGGTCTGGTGTTTCGAAGTCGCTTTCACGTGGGTTTTGCTCGGTCGTCCTCCGCAAAGAGATCTCATACAGTAGAACCTACAAAGGTAACCTATAATTAATCATGTAAGTATAATAGCAAAAGTGAAAGCTGGCAGGCAACACAAACTATCCTGCCATGAAGTTCTCAAAGGTTCGCCTAACACGTTGGAGATGCCCTCAGCCTCCATCCTTTTATGATAAACGTGGATTGCCGATAGTTCTCAGAAATGGACACAGGGGATTCAATCGACTCACAGGATCAGGGGTCCAGGGCCCGGAGTTTGGTCCTGGTTTGCTTCTGTTTGGGGGTAGGCTTGCCAGGTAAACAACTGGAGCTCCTATGTCTGAGAAGATGACTCTGTTGGGTCCATTCTTACCACACGCTTCAAGTATTCCTTCTTAGCGTCCAAAACTGGAGGTGCCAGCAGGCCACAAGGGTCTCAGCATCGAAAGGCAGCGACTTGTACAAAGTCAGCACCTGAGGTCAAGGATTGCAGTTCTTGGCTGTCACTTTTAGACAGTCTGTGATGCAGCCAACACTTCATTGGGCTGTTTGGGAATCCATTTGACCTGGTGATTCGGGGTAGTGCCATTCGGTGACTTAATCGAAAAAGGGAGCGGTCACATAGGATTTGAGCAACCCATGGTTCATCGAACTCATTTGGCAGTTTTTTGGCAGCCACATGCCCGCGTTTCATGTCAAGAGACAGGCACCCTCAAGGCGAACCCGAATTATCAGTCCAGAAAGGTTGGACATACCGTGACATACCAATCAATCACATTCATTTCCTCACACTACTCATTACCAGTCATTGCTGGTGCCTCAACTTGCTCAAGCTTCGCTGTTTGGACAACTGCGAGGGAGCCGACCCACGAAGAGGCGGACAACAACACGGTTGCTTTGACTTATGTAGTTTGTTTGACAGATGCCAACACAATGTTTAGTTTGTTTGATATTGTTTTTGTACTGCAATAGAACTAAGTAATGAAACGGAAGATCATCGATGTACTTTGCGAGCCTGTATAGCCTTTGCATACTCGTACCTTTTCAGCGTGTCACATCCACAAAAGGGTTCCAAAACAGCTGCAGCATCATCCCCCAAATGCTCAACAGTGGCTCCAAATTCCATGATAACCCCAGGATTTGATTCCAGATTTTTCGGAATGGGACGCTGGAGTGGTCAAATGGCACCAGAGGAGGGCCGTTCGCGCCTCAGACGTTTTCGGACTGAGTGGACTAACGCGCCGGATGCTGCCAGTGACCACCCGTAACATATTCAAGTACATTCAAGTATTTAGTACCCACTGTTACTGCTGGGGGTTATTGAGCTACTGGTACGCTGAAGCTAACCAGTTGTCCGCAAGGGTAAACTACGCTTGACTAAGATGAAAAGCAGGAAACACTCTTACTGGGAGTGAGGAGAACTTAAAGCATCAAGTTACATATTTGGTCAGCAACCACCGGGAAGATACGTAGTTCTCCGTATGTTTGGACCTGATGCTTATCGAGCAATAGAGAACACGGTTAGGAGTTGTAAGACTTGCGACGTGCCACAAGGCGGGGCAGCGCACTGCATGTGCAGACCCCCAAAGGATGAGGCGTCGCAGTTTAAGGAGGGCAAGCAACAAAGTTCCAGATATGCTTTAACAGTCTTAAAGTTAAATGGTCGAACCATCAAGAAACAACAACATAATGAACACCTGATATTGAGTACCCAAGAAATAAGTACCTAGCCTAGTACTGGTAGTACATGGCTGATGACATGACTGACAAGTAAGGGTTGCCCTGAGCTTTGGCCGACTCATCGTCGCTGCGAAACTCTGCTAGTTTGCCTGAATCCCGCAGAGAGGGTGGCGTACAGCACAGGAAGCGATGCAACATGTTAACTCCAAAGCCCATCAAACCTTCCATCAGCGATGGCAAAAACAAGAAAGACAAGCATTAGGTACTGGTACCATCATGTGATCCAAAGCCTTGTGAAACAAGAGGAACAGAGGTAGTTGTTACTTTAGGCATTCCCTGGCTACAAGGTCTACCATGAAGATTTCAGTCTGTGCATTGACTTCCCCTGACCTGACTGGACTTTCCTGAATCGGCATGCTTTTAGCTGCCTTATCTATATAAATTAAAACTACTTGGTACTAGCTTCTTGCTACTAATAGCTTCTTGCTCCTAGTAGTAGGGCCAGGAGCCCCTAGTAGCGTCC